CACCACCACCATCCCCCGCTCCCGCCTGCTCCCGGCGGGCCCTGCGCGAAACGGCGAGCACGAGAGTGCGCGGATGGTGGGAGGAGTGGGAATAGAACGGGGCGTCGCGCGTGCGCCAATGGGGCGGCCGTCTGCGGACCGCGGGGCGGGCCAGCCTCGGTTTCCCGGTGTGCAGCGCCGGGGCTCGCACAGCTTCGCCGTGCCCTGGGTTTGAGGGCTGCCGGGCAGTCGTGATCCCTGCAGCCCGGCCAGCTGCGTGACCCGGTGCACTGCGCCACTTCACCTCGCGCGGCCTGGCGCCCGGACTGTGCGCTCGGGGAGGACGACAGTAAGCCTCGATGATTACGGGAATCGAGCGCTTTCCGGCCGGTCAGCACCTAAATATAGCGCGTTGAGACAGTGGCTCCTTTAGCCTGGCCGCTCCTCCCAGGCCTGCGGCGTCGGAGTGGCTCGCGGCGGCCCCAGGCCCCGCCTGGGCCGACCCGCTCGCAACCACGCCTTCCCGGAGCCGGAGGGCCGGCAGGAACCCGGGTGGCCCTGCAATGAAGACATTTCTCTGAGCCCGCTGCCCGCGCAGCACTCGGCACCAGGAGCAGTTAAGAGGCGTATGCGTCTGTTGTCTGTCTCCTTAACCAGCGCTGGATCCTAAAGGAATGATGTGGGGGGTGACCAAGGTTCAATAAAAGTGAAATCAAATAAAACTGAAAATGTCCGAAAGCATCCCACCTAGAGAGCAAGGCAAAGCGTGTCTGTGAAGGGGGCTCTCACTCGTGTATGTGCTTATTCGGTCAGGAGGTGGAAGCCCAGACAAGAACGCTTATCCTCAGCAGGTAATTGTGACTGTCGCCACTTTATGGAGGAGACCGAGACCCAGCACAGACAGATGTGTGCAGAACCAGCTTGGGCGGATCCTGAGCCAAACTTTCTGAAGAGCACCACATGGTCTGCACTGTCCTGCCAGCGTCCACTGGGAGAACAGTAGTGAGGCTGATGGAAGTGGGCCCGGGAAGCAGGTGAGAAGCTGCAGAAGTCTTCCAGCTGTGTCGGCCAGGACTTAGCTGCACAGCCCTGAATTGCTTCTTGGTTCGTGGGAGACCACCACGAGGACAGGCAACAGAGCAACTTTTGCAACCCAGTAAGAGAGGTCCCAGGGATGGGCAAGGCTCTCCCTGAGAAGGAAGATCCAGCCTGATCCTCAGACACATCAGGTGCACCTGTTGGCAGCAGGTGCTGATGGGGCTTCTGGGCCCTTCAGACCAGCTGGCCTGCTGTTCCCACAGTGCAGCCAAGGTTGAGAACCTACTGTTTGGACTTCCTTTTCCCACTTTTCCGGGTGGAGGTTAGGGACATGACTTACCCAAAGTCACAGGGCAGTGTACAGATCCTCTGCCTCATACCTGGTTTCTGAGCCCTAAGTCTGTGTGTTGGGGGTGGGCCTGCATTCTTGGCAGACACAGGTGATCCCTGAACCTGCCTTAAAAAGGGGAGCTACACTCCCAGTCTTTGGTGTCCAGGTAATGGGTCCCATGGCCAACTCCAGAGATGTCCCGAGTGCCAGCACGCTCCTTGACGTGCTGCCCAGTGAGTCCCTGAGGGCATTAGCCACAGTGCAAATGCCCGGGTGGGGCAGAGGCCTAAAAATACATGTATTCAGGCCCAAGAATGCTGTAGGCCTCCCTGAAGTCGAGGGGAGCAGGTGTGTGCCTGACCCTGACCTGGGAGTCTGTTGGTGTGGATTGCTTTCCATACTGGGGCACACCCCACCTGGCACCCTCACCTGGCACAGCTCTCACACTGTGGCCTGGGGGTGAAAGGCTCACCTGGTGACAATCCTCAAGTGTTGGCCTAGTGAGTAGAGGGCTAGAGTGAGAGGCGCTTTGGGGAGGCTCTGGGCAGGTCAGACCTCCTGCCTCAGTTTCCCAGTCTGCTCTCCCCCTCTGGTTGGTGGACATGAGGGCCCTAGTAGCTACTGCCCGTGAAGGGCTTTGTGGGCAGCCAGGAGCCTGCACCTGGGACATGGGGTGGACTGGAGACAGAAGCAGCTGAGGGGTTACCTTTGGCCAAAACCACTGGGGATGCACCCACGGGGTAAGTACAAGAGAGCACATGGCCCCTGGTGAGATCAGGTGTGGAAACATGCAGAGGGGAGCCTGCCTGGGTGTCACCACACTCCAGCTGGGGTCCTCCAGGTGTGTGGGTGAGCCACCATGGAAAGCCATCTTGTTGCTCTGCTGTGTGCCTGAGAAGGAACGGCCAGCATGGCCACTGGGTCCACCGTGATCAGCGGTCCTTGGTTGGCACAGATGTTTCAATGCTCAGCAGGCTGAAAGGTTGGCGGTTAAAGCCCACCCAGAGGCACCTCTGGAGACAGGCCTGGCGCTCTGCTCTGAGGAGGCCCCAGCCTCGAGAGCCCTCAGCAGCACAGTTCCGTTCTGTACGTGAAGGGTCGCCACGTGTATCGATCAACTCAGCAGCGGCCTTCGGGTCCCCCAAGGCCACTGTTTTAGGGGGAAAAACAACAGGTGAGCTGGTTACAAAAAATAGAACCGTAACATTTAGGTGTTCCACCAGTTAGGTAACAGCAGGGGCTGTGCTCTGACTCAGAGCCTCGCCTGTCCCCTCCCCACACTCAGCATCAGGCACGTGGAAGGTGCAAGGAGGGGGCGTCCTGGGGAGGTCTGCCCCTCCATGGAGCCCTGCCCACAGCTGCACAGAGGCTGGGAGGCTCTGGGGGGCCAAGCGTGGAAGACACCCTGGGGGAGGCATGCAAGTGAACCAGCGCTGCTAGATGTTGGCCAGGCTGTGGCCCCGGGGTTTGGGCTGGAAGGGGCCTGAGTGGCTGTTCAGGGGCAGTCACGTTGCAGTAACACAGGTGTGTGTCCTTTGTGTAAAGGAGTCCAGCACTTGCGATCTGGGTGCTTTTATGTGTGTATTACATTCCTCCCACCACTCGTCTGTCAGTCTATGGTGGCTTGTGTGTTGCTGTGAGGCTGGAGGCTATGCCACCAGTATTTCAAACATCAGCAGGGTCACCCATGGTGGACAGGTTTCACTGAGCTTCCAGACGAAGACAGACTTGGAAGAAGGAAGAGGCCATCCACTTCTCAAAGAATTGGCTGGTGAAAACCTTAAGAGTAGCAATGAAACAGTCTGATATGTTACTGGAAAACTCGATGACTAGTCCTGAAACACTGTCCGACAGAGTGCCAGAAGATGAGCCCCTCAGGTCAGAAGGCACTCGGAATATGACAGGAAGAGCCGCCTCCTCAGAGTGGAGCCGACCTTAAGGAAACGGATAAAGTAAAGCTTTCGGGACCTCCATTTGCTGATGGGGCATGACTCAAAATGGGAAGAAACAGCTGCAAACATCCATTAATAATTGGAACATGGAATGTACCATGTATGAATCCAGGAAAATTGGAAGTTGTCAAAATCGAAATGAAATGTATAAAGATAACATTCTAGGCATTAGTGGCATAGTGCCAAAGGCATTTGACTGCTACCCAGAAGGCTGGCGGTTCAAACCCACCAGCCACTCCTCGGAAGGAAGGTTGGGCAATCTACTTCTGTGTGATACAGCCTCGGAAACCCAAGGAGGGGTCGCTGTGAGTCTGATCTGACTCAACGGCAATGAGTTTTGAGGCATTTGTGAGCTGAGATGGACCTGTTTGGGCCATTTTGAATCAGACAACCATATGATCTGCTATGCCGATGGCAAATTGAAGAGAAATGGCATGGCATTCATTGTCACAAAGAGTGTTTCAAGATCTGCCCTGAAGTACAGTGTTGTCAGCAAGGATCGTGGGGCTGGCACAGGACCAGGCAGTGTTTCATTCTGTAGAATGTGGGGTCCTGTGAGTTGGAGCCCATGTGAGGGCACTGAACAGCAACGACATTGTTTGCGTCGCCGGAGACCCGCTGCCCTTGGGTCAATTCCCACTGCTACAGGAGAGAGTGCAGTTGCCCCATAGGATTTCCAAGGCTGAAATCTTTACAGAAGCAGACCGCCACATCTTGCTGCCACAGAGCCACTGGTGGGTTAGAACTGCCGATCTTTCCGTTACCAGCCGAGCACTTAACCACTGCACCATCAGGGCACAATTCCATCCCATCAGTGGCTCCGCAGCAGAAAAGACCTGGCAATTTACTCCTGTAAGATCACAGGCTAGACTGAACATTTACCTGAGGTAGATACACTCCTGGGAGAGATCAATCATGGGAGAACAGAAGGGCTGTGGATGTACAGGGAGACAGCTGGGGGGGCAGGAGTGCATGGAGGGAAGGACACCGGGAAGAGGTAACTACGGGGAGAAGTGGGAGGGGAGCTGTTGCATTGTGGGAAAATGCGGTCAATGTCATGAGACAAAGTGTATGTGAGCTGCTGTATGGAAAGTGTTTGCTCTGTAAACTTTCACCCAATTCACAATAAAAATTAAAAAAAAAAAAAAAGTATGGCCGTCTGGAGAACAGTAGAAAACGGAAGGGCAGCAGAAGCCAGTGTGCCGCGCTTTGAGGGCTCAGCACGACCGCCGCGTTTCACGAGGCCCATCCTCGCGGCGCCCTCGCTCACACGCATGCGCACGCACAGGCACCAGCCCTCCGAGTGCCGAGTCGCGCCTCCAGAGATGAAGAGTTGGAGGCCTCCGGCCGTCGCCCAGTGGAGCTGGGCCTCCGCCTCACCCGCTGCAGTGTCCCATGCCTGGGGTTAGAGACTGGGCAGAGCACGCAACTGCTGTGTTCCAACCTCATTCCCCACAAAAGCCCTGAAGAAGACCCTCTGGGGCCAGATCCGAGGCTGGAGCCACGTGCTGGGGGAGGCACTCACTTCCTGAAGCATTTTATCCTGACTCCGCACAGCGGCTGCAGGCTGCGTCTGCGAGTTGCCACGGTGACCCAGAGGCCTACGCAGGGGCGTCCTAGCTGCAAACTCCCGGTCCCAGGCGGTTAGGGCCCTCCTGTGCAGAACAGATGGTCCATGAGCACCTGCTGGCCAGAGTCACAGTGAGAGAGAAGTCCCGTAGACGCAGAAGCGGCTGCAGAAGCTGACAGCTCTGGTCCAGGCCTCCCCGAGACCCGTCCTCACCTGGCGATGCTCTGTGGGCCACCAACCTGTGTTCCTAAGACGTCCCTGCTGTGCGGCTGGAGGCCGGGGCTTAGGGATGAAAGTCTCTGCCGGGCAGACGGTTATTTTTACTCCTTGGGCTCCGAATTGTTAATACCATAATCCCTTCCGGCTGTTGCCGCCTGAGCCACCCCGCCCTGGGAGCTCTGGGAGGCAGGGACTCCCAGGCGGCAGGAGCCAGCAGGGCTCACTGCGCAGACATGCAGCACCGCGATGCCAGCAACCGAGGGCGGGCGGCAGGGAGCACGTGGGACGGTGGCAGCAGGTGGGCAGGTGGAGGAGGGCACGCCACTCGAGGGAAGGCATGGCTCTCTGTCCCCCAGGCACTTCAGGCTTTTCCAGCAGGGCCTTTGGCTCCCCCGCTCTGCAGGTGTCACATTCTCGTAGCAGCGTCTGAACCTGCCTGATTCTCACGGGGAATCATGAGAATCACCACTGGCACACGGCTGATCCCCGTGAGGGCAGGTGCAGGTCAGTGCTGATCCCAGGTGTCCCTTCCTCAGCACTCTCTAGTCCTCAGCTGGGTCCGATCCCCCATGCAGTGACCACACAGAACTCACAGACTGTACCTACAGCTAAGTGCTTTATGAAGGACAGGGTCCCACTGGGATCGGGAAGCATGTAGACAGCGTCTTCCTCTTCAGTGCAGGCCAGCTGTCGGGCCCTCTCGGCCCCTGTCGGCCCCTGTCGGCCCCTCTCGGCCCCTCTCGGCCCTGCCCTGTCACCACCGGCTGCCGCTGGACCTCTTCCAGGCTCCTTACTGCCAGCTGTGCTGCTGCGTCTCTTTGGTGTTTCAGCCCCGACCTGTGTTTCAGCTCAGCTCTTTTAGGAGACTCCTTGTCTCCTCTGTCTGTCTGTCTGTCTCTCTACACCCCCCTTCTCTCCCTGCTTCTTTCTGTCCAAAATCTCTGTGGGGATGGATGGCTGCTTGTGCCTACAAAGCCTTCATCAATCTCAAGGCATGGCACTCCCACCAGGGCCTCGAACTGGCCAATCTCCTCTTGGTAGGCGCAGAGACTTCATTTGCATAGAAGGCTACAACTTGCCTCATTTGCATAATCTATTGACCAATCCTTGCAAGGTGCATACTAATCACAGGGCGGACTGTGGCCCAGGGCCAGACAAAAAGAATCAAACCAAGTTGTTTACAGCTTACCCAGGAAATATCAATCAACCCGACAAAAATAACAGACCCTCTGAGATAGGAAACTGAGGGGGAGGTAACCCCTCAGGCCTTAGGGGAGAAATCTGTCAAGTTGTTTTTCCAAAGAACCAAGCAAAAGGCCACAGAAAGGGCCCCTTTCCCCACAGCAGGCTATCCTACCCATGCCTGCACACGCCTTTCCCAGTTCTGGAACCACATCTGTCAGGGGCATCCTGCTGGGCAGGGTGCAGAGTAGTGTTACAGAGATGGCATTCATCACCCCCCACAGACCCTCGGCAGGCCCTTGAGTCTGATCTCTCCCCATGCCGGGCTGGACCAGGACTGCTGGCCCGTCCCCACATTCACTTCACAGTTTTACTGAAATGTTATATATCATAATGTTAAAATACTCACCCTTGTAAAGTGCATATCCACACATTGTGCAACCATCACCACATCTAATTCTAGAACATTCTTGTCCCTGCCAAGAAGAAAGCCTGTGTCCATTCGTGGGCACCCCTCCCTTTTCCCCGCCCCCTGCAGCCCCGTTGTTGACGTGCCATTAAGTCATTTTCTAGCCTGTTCTCTGTACAGGAGTAGGTCACCAGGGCCCCTTACTGAGCCCCGGGCCACCACTTACGCCCCTTCTGTGTCTGGATTCGCCTATGTGGCCATTTCATGTAAATGTGGGCTTTGTAGTTGATGCCTTTCGCTCAGCAGCATGTTTTTGGGGTTCGCCTCTGTGCGTGTATGTCACTTCTTCCTCCCTTTGCATTGCTGATTAACATTGCACCGTGTGGTTTTGTTCTCTTTCGCAGCTGATAGACGTGTGGCTGCCTTCCACTTCCCAGCTGCTGTGAGCATCCGTGTACACGGTTTTTTTGTGTCATGTTTTATTTCTCCTGGGAGCAGATGGCTGGGTCATATGGTGACATTTTGAGAACGTGACAAGTGTCTTCTCATGTGGTGTGGCCGTGTTGCGTTCCCAGCCCCAGTGGACAAGGTGCAGCCTTTGCCCTGCTGAGACGGTGGTGTGGCTCCGTGCACTGTGGGAACAGGGTGCTGGGCCTGCGAGCGGCCTCCCAGCTCAGATGAAAGCCTCAGGACCCAGTGTCCACTCTGCCACCTGCAGTAGCCCAGAGGCAAAATTTCATGCCCAGATGAGCAGGGCAGAGAGAGGCTTTGACATTGGCCCGTGGGTGGAGACCTGGTAGGGGCGGCACTGTGGCTGCCACACACATGGCCTGCCTTTGACTCCAGCCATCTATATAGGCCAGAATCACCAAGGCTGACAGTGTCTGGCCCTGACGTTACCAGCCCTCCCCTGAGTCTTGTCGGGCCTTCCTTCCAGTTTCTGAATAGCAAAACAAGGCTCATGAGGAAAAGACCTGAAGGTACCCAGGTCCACACACAGTGAAGGGTGGAGGGTTGAAGCCACTCGGCAGTGCCGACCAGGCCTCGTGATCTGCTTCTGTAAAAATGACAGCTGAGACCAGTTTGATTCCGACGCACACGGGTCACCATGAGTCGGAGTCAACTTAGCAACAAGTTTTATTTTTTCTGTTCTAGAAACAGCCTTGAAGCCGGTGTGCAAAGAGCTAACAGCAGTCTGCATTCCTGATCGTCGTGCGTGCTGGGCATGATACTGAGCAGCCCACGCCAGTCGTCTTGGCGGCAACTCTCTACAGCAGAGTCCATAAAACCTCAACGTACGGAGGGACCAGGGCAGTTCACAACGCGCCCCGCCCCCCAGCAGAACCTGGATGCACACCTAGGTTTGGGGCCCCACCGTGTTGAACACAACACACTCCGTAGGTGTTTGCTGAGTGAATAAATAAACCCTCTCTAGCTGCCTTACCTGTCGTCATGGACTGCAGGCTGGTTTCCCCAGGAAGTAGATTCAGAGAAAGTTAAGATTGCAAAAGGTTTGTGGAACAGGAACACCTGCTAAATGAAAGTTCAGCAGTTCAAACCCACCATCTTCACAGGAGAAAGATGTGGCAGTCTGCTTCTGTAAAGATGACAGCCTTAGAAACCCTATGGGGTGCTTCCACTCTGTCCTCTAGGGGCGCTGTGGGTCAGAATGGACTCCAGGCAGTGGGTGTGGTTGGGGCTTTGCTTCTGTGAAGATTGACAGCCTTGGA